AGTCACATTCTTTTCATGTTCATGTTGTTGGGAGCAGAAATTTAGATCATCTTATGCCTTTACTCTCTCTCTCTCAAAAAAAGTTTTGTATGCTGTCTGGTAGCTGTTTATTTCTAGCTTTATAACGTTAGTTGTGTGAGTTTAAAATCTCTCAGATCAGATAGTTTAATCAAACAGGAATGAATTAATACTGTATTAATGTGTTCATAATAGCCAGCCTTATGAATTAACCTGAGGTTCTTTTCTGCAGCATGGATAACAGTTTAACTGATGTCCTGGAGGTGTTACCACAGAGTTTAGAGCAATAGCTTAGGTGTGGTGAAATCAGTGTCAAATGAAATAACTTCTTTTTACCAGATAATATGTTAAATATTATCAATAACAACATCAAAAGATAAATAAAGGTTAGTTATCATGTTTTGACTGTAAGATCTTTTGAGTCCCCCCCATGATCCATGATTTTTAACAGTATAACGCTTGGGCTGCAGGAAGCTGCAGCCAGGTGGTGACCCTGCATGCAGTATCTGGCTCATGGGGGGAGTGTGTACAGTAGAGCTGCAGCCAAAGCCCTGAAGCTGCCAACAAGAATCCGTCTGCCATTAGGAAGGGCAAGATGAAGGAAAATATATATTGTATATTACTGGATGTTCTGTGTATTAGATTTCAGACTGTAATCAAAATACTTGTATAAAGATTCAAATATGTTTGAAATACCGGGAGCGCAAATGAAAAGGCGGATGATTGGAAAGATATGCTTTAGGCAGCTTGATATAATTTCTAGTGTATTACAAAAACATAATCTGTTTTGTGGCAGTTAGCTAATTGAGCAACCTAATCCTAGCTCATCTAAAACAGAAAAAATGTTTATTTTTTAATGTTAAAGAAAAAAAAGTTTTTATTGTAACTGTAAAAAAGTTTACATATATAGGCCTCATGAAATTTTACACTTGTTTTCTACACATTTCTGATCAGGGCTCATTCAATAAATGATACTCAGATACTTATCTGCACCTGATTTGCTGATCAATATGCACATGCTGTAGTTTCCACAGACAGTGGTTTGTGATTGTCCACTGTGAGGTTTAAAATAAGTTGCAACAAACTATGTCTTTGTCATGCAGCTCAGACAAAAATGCACAGACAGGCAGAATCCAGCAGGATTCCAACCGTGGTTCAGGCGAGCAGACAGGGCCAGTGGGTGAGAGGGAACGGAATCAGGAAAACAGAATCACTATGGAAATGCTGAAAAGTTCTCACCGCTGGTTACGGAATAACTCACCTGAGGACACTGGCTAGAGAATAAACTCCTCCCTGGAACAGAGACATGAACCTTGGAAATAAATCCAAAACTGACAGACAGGACACTAACAGAAGGCAAAGAGGGAACAAACATCAAACAATGATCTATCCATGATAGCTGGGCTGGACCGGACATAAGGCAGAACCTACTGGTGGATGAGATCAGAGATGATTAAGAACTGAGCAGAACTAGGCAGGTGAGTGAAATGAGTGATTAAGGCCAACTATCAGAGCAGATCATGACATTCATCGTGACCCCAAACAGTTAAAAGATAATCACCTAACTTTAATGAACAATTAGATATTCAATATTTTCCATTAAACACATTTTTATCCCTTCTTTGTTGATGAAAAACTCAAGTTTGTCATATTTAAGCCACCCAGAAAGTACACCTCAAAATCCTGTTGCACAATAAGCCTAACCCCTCTTACACACACACACACACACACACACACACACACACACACACACACACACCTACACACACACACACACAAATACACACTTTTATAGAGATGCTCTTTCATTGGCCACAGTCTCATGGGTTTGAACCTCATTGTGACCTTTCCGAAAATGTCATCTCTGTACCGTCTCAACCATGTTCTCCATTTTAAGTCGGCCTATAATATGAATCTGCATAAATGCTCACTACTATCAGTAACGGTCACGTAAGGGAATCACCGCCTCATTACTAAACTTGTCTGAGGTACAGTAGTGATTATTGGATGAACGGCAAAGAACTCTGCAACATATCTGAGGCGAGGGCACGTTGGCTAAATGCTTTAAATAGCTCTGTGGGCCTAAGCTAAGCTCCAATGTCTTTTTTTGTATCCCTTGAACTCTTTCCTGCATCTGTTTCCAAAAGGAAGAAAACAAGACAATTAAAAGTGGAGAGTCTTCTCTTCTTTTAAATGATAAGAGCAATGATGAGAGTAGTTGAATCTCACTCAATTATACCCTCTTACCTCTCTGGATCATTTTAATGATGCTGCACAGACACAACTCTCTGATCCCACCGTATAACACCCTGTGATGAAACAAACCATTGTGTGTGTCCTCGCCCCAATATGCTAATCCCGGATTAATTATGGACCAACCCTAATGAGTGTCTCTCTGGCCCTCTCAGATATGTAAATGTGCCAGCAGTGGACAACGCTGAGAGGCTTTTGTTAACTCTCGGTGCAGTATAAAAAGGAGACAAACAGGACAAGGACAAAGGTTCAGCAGTAATAGATTATTTCAGAATACTGCAGTTTACTTCAATGCAGTTTATTTCTGTCATAATAAATAATTACACTATACAATTACTACAATTTCTCTTACATTTTTGCTGTTAAATTTTCACTTGATTTCATGAATTGAGATGTTGCATTTACTACAAAAAATGGCAGGTTTAAATAGTTTTTTTATATCAATATATGATATTTGGCCAAATAACATTAAGAATTCCAAAAAAATAGAATAACTGGAGTAGAAAAAGGCAATGACAAGTGGTTTTATGCAATGTTGATCACGCATCTACTGTTCTTTTTTCTTCTTAATTAAGCAATTTAATTACTTGACTTCCTGCAGACCAAGTGTCCCACAGACCATGATATCCTGGCATAGTTCCTATCTGACCAAACTGATAAATGCTGATCAGAAATGGTAAGTCTCTAACTGACATGTGTTCCATAACTGATTACATTTCTTTTATATAAGGTACTATAGACAACCTAAAGAATAAATATTAATTTTTAGTTTAGATTCCAAAAAGGCTTTTGTCTGAATGGCCCTACCTCTATATTCTTTTTAGAAAATAAAGTACTTTGATTTAATGGTTTAAACGGTTGAGATAATAATATCAATAATTGAGAGAGTTGTTGAATAATTCGTCATGAGATGAACAAAATTATGGTCAACAATGAGCATCTTTTTTATCAGATTGTTAAAACACCAACAGAATGTCATCGACTCTCCAGATCCAGTGCAAGACACACCACTACAGAAAATGCTTTCTGCCTACAGCCGTTGACAATAAATTGTTGCAAAAAACAAACTATGAGTTACTACAAAATATAATTTCCCTTTGTAATCAATAAAGTATGTTTAAGCTGAATTTCGAGTGAAACAGAATTGATTCAAATTATTGTTGGTGAGCTTACCTACATTGTTTTTTTTGTTTTTTTTTCCCTAAATGGTTAGACCAGGAGTTAAGCTTGACAGGTGATTGGACATGGAGCAGGAAGATCCTCTCCCTTACTCGATCAGGGCCCATTAATGTCCCCCATTCATCTAAGAAAATCATCTTACATTTGCAATCCAGTCACATGATGTGATTTAGATCTGTAAACAATTTATCAAACATATTCAACTCGGTGCTCTATCTTTCATACCATTCTATGCAAATCAATCTTTACCCCTTCAATTCTGGATTTAACCGACGGAAAGAGTTGGGATTGTATTGTGTGGGGGCCTCATACATCAAGGATTTGTTTGCATTATTCAAGCAGGTAAAAAAAATACAATTGATTAAAAAATGTTTTTAATAATACAGGTTAGATATTTTGTATCATATTGACAATATTGAAACCATAACATTAGAAAAATGTAGATGAACATCCCCGAAAATGTATAGCTGAAAACAGCCATCTCGTTTAAAGTGTAAAGACAGATTGGGAAAGGGAATTGAATAAGGAAATACCTGATCACATTTGAAGTAAAAGGCTGAGAAACATTAATTCATGGTCCCTCACTCCCAGAAACTGTCTGACTCAGCTAAAGATTATACCAAGGTCAAATATTTCAAATGTACAGTAAAGATACATATCTGAGTACTGTGTCACTAAGTGAAAAACAAGGTGTAAGTGAAAAAAGGTGAAAAATTCTTCACAAATGCAAAATACAAATGCTGCAATCAGAGAGGAAAAACCCATTGAAGCTAACACATAAAGCAATAATTATTCTAATAGAAGCTGCAAAAGACATGGTTCATATATAGTAAACATTCTAACTTTTTTAATATTCATGACTTCATGAACAGCTGTGAATAGGGTGCAGATAAAGAAACATGCTTGATGTATGCAAAAGTTAGTTAGTTAGCAAGTCGATGATTTTTCCTCCTCACATAGCTCAATCAAAATGTTAATCAACATTTGCAGCTTATTTAACTAAAAACAACTATGGTATCTAAACGATAGAACACTGAAAAAACTAATGCAATAATTTTTGGCATTGCTTAATCATATTTAGTTACTTTAATAGAATTGTTTCATGTTAGCAGGGTAGGACATACAACAAGTGTCTTAAAGCAACTAAATATAATTAAGTAAATGCCTACAGCTTTTATTTTTTTCATTGAGCTATTTTTCAAAAGAGGTCAAAATGCCTCAATTAAACACATAAAAAACTGTTAAGACTTGCACCACTATGCATTGGCAATATAAAACGTAATTTAATATGGACTTAAATGTCTCTGTTCAATATGCTTAAAAAATGCATAGATAGATAGATAGATAGATAGATAGATAGATAGATAGATAGATAGATAGATAGATAGATAGATAGATAGATAGATAGATAGATAGATAGATAGATAGATAGATAGATAGATAGATAGATCACATGACTGCGCTCTCTCCTGCCTTCTGAGGGCAGGATGCTAAGTGTGTGCGCGCGCGCTCCCGTGCACGTGGGTAGCTCAGTGCCTCATCATGATTGTTCGGCAGGGCTGCTCTGACACGGCGTCGGGTCCTCCGTAGTACGCCCGCAGCGTGGAGAGCTCTGAGCGGAGCGGCGTGGATGCGCCTCTGTGGCTCTGAGTGCGCATCAGCTCCTCTCTTGTCCCCCTTCCAGTGCCAGCGTCTTCGAAACAGGAAAGATGAGGGGAACTAAGGAGTTGACTGAAGGAGCCCAACAATTTGGACTGTGTTTTGGAAGTGTGAGGGCTTAAGAAAGATGTAAGAATCCGCAGGCGAGCCTCCCGGATCCCCAGCCCAAAATGCAGAAAGGGGTGAGACTCAATGATGGCCACATCACCTATCTGGCCATTTTGGCAAAGAAAGACGGGACCAGGCGAGGCTTCTTGAGTAAGAAAAGCTCAGACAACACAAAATGGCATTCGAAGTGGTTCGCCTTATTGCAGAATATGATGTTTTATTTCGAGAGCGAGTCCAGCTCACGCCCCTCAGGACTGTACTTGTTAGAGGGATGCGTCTGTGACCGGGCTCCGTCTCCCAAACCGTCTATGTCAGCGAAGGAATGCCTGGAGAAGCAGGTAGGAGCTGATCAGAGGGATCATCCTGATGCATTTGTTTAGTCACTCAAAACTTTCTTTGATAACTGTAGAAAACCCAGCACATGAACCAGCAGCACAGTAGTTGTATATTATATGTATATAATAGCATAAATACACTTTTATCTCCCAGTGATTGGATTTTCGTCCACTTGACGTGGATTTACGCAATTGCGTCACCCAGACAGATGGTTAGTGTCAATTTTGCCCTCAAAGAATCTGTTCAAGCAGCAATTTGTTTAAAATTAGCATCAGTGACGTAAAACCTCAGTTAAATATTTTTAGTTGCAGGGTTTTCTATTGCACAACTTTCTTCTTTAAAGTATTAAATTAAAGAAACTCACAGATATTGAAAAAAAAAAAAGAAATTGAAAAAAAACTTAGGCTGCGTGCAAACTTTGCAGTCTTTGCAAAGAAGAGCTGCTCCCTTTGGCGTTTTGACGTATTGATTTAATTCCTCGGCTTGATATTTATAGCATCCTACCTTGGCAACTGTGTCTCCCCACTTTATAGCTGCGGTCCATTTGATAGCTCCCTCATTATCATGAGGTGTTAACGACAGCAGTGAGCGACAGTTTAACCATGTCGCATTATGGCTCCCTGTTTTCGTCTCAATTCATCCCCGATTTGACTATTTTTATGCAGATTATATATATATTGCAGAGGGATTAAAGCTGTTGAGAGCTGTATCTGCAGTCACCTAAAATCTTTTTTGCCAGCTGCAGCCTCTTTAGTTTCCCTGCAACACAGGAGATAAACCTCATTTTTTTTCTTACTTGAAGATGTGATTCTTATTTTTGCTGAGATATTGTTTTAAGTTTCTTTTTAATATAATATTTTAATATAAGTCAGTTATTATTCTTTATAAAACACCAACAGAAAATGAGGACAACATAAATGACTTTAAGTGTGATCAAAAGTAGAAAGTAAAAAAGACATGCAAGAAAATAAAAATAAAACTCAGCATCTAAACAAGTCTGAATGTCGGAGTAAATAAATCTAGAGAAATGTCCCATATCCACTTCAGTTTCACATTGTTTTTAAAGTATTCAGGCCATGCTCACTAAACATTTTCGAGTGAAAGTGATGTATTTAACATTTCTAAATAAAATAAAAAAAATACTAAGTAACAGGAAAATCTCAGAAGAAAAAAGATCATGTTGAACAAGATCCTTAAGTGTGCTGTTTAATCAGATTCTCTTGACATCAAGGACTGGTTTTGTGGTATTATATAAAGAACATTCAGAAAAACTCCCAGATTTCTTGCTCTTTTTAACTATTTTTACTGAGAGCAGTGCTAAAGTCACTGTTATGAGAGGCAGCCGTCACTGGAAAACATGGTTTACTAAATCAAAGCTAATCTTTCTGCATATGGTGAAAAAGAACAAAATAACCTTGCTTCACATTGTTCAATAAGATTTGCGTTACCAAAAAAATCCCTTACCCAATGATTCTTAGAAAGTACATTTCTTTTAAACAGCTTTTTACATTTCATGGGACACTTCTTATAAAGTAACTGGTTAGTTATTTCTCCATCAATAAAAAGTTCCACATCAAACAGTGTTCTTCTCAGTACAGCCTGGCAGTACAGGCTCTGATGGAAGAGTCAGTTCAATCATACCTGGTGATTGTCGAGGTCTAATGTTCTGTCTTTGGAAAAACTGCTACGTTCCACGCAAAGGAAAATATTTGTTTGTCATCTTAAATATTATTTTTGTAGTAGTTATTTTGACTTTTCAGGCTTTCATTTATATCCTAATGTCTCAGAAGATTAAAGATGCAAAAAGATCATATGCGTGACTCCTACTATCTGTGCTTGTTTGTTTCTCTGTCTCTGTCCGTGGTGCTGAACATCATAACTCCCCCCCTTTCTCCTTGCTCCTGTTTTAAAATCACGATTAAGATCTGAGATTCAGAATTTGAAAATTTTCAGGATTTTAAGGTTTTAAACATGTTTTGCCAAACACACGTACTGAGCTGTTTATTGAATATCATTCTTGGCCAAGCATGGCCTGTCGTCATGCATGAAATATGTACCGAGTGACATCTATGACAACAGCCGTTCATGCAGACTGCTGCACTAAATTTATTTCAGCATTGCTTTAACTGAATTCGAAAGCCTTCAGTTTGATCCTCTGTTCACCATGTGTGTCTTTATGTAACATCTTTATGTTAAAAAATAGATTTAGATTGTTAATCTTTTTTTTTCTTTGCATCATATTTTTATAGTTATCTAAATCTGCATGTCTTTGACCAATCATCTGACCTAGTATGCACACCTCAAATTGACTCAAAAGTCAATATTTGCCTCCCTGTGTTGAGCTGCATCCACCAGGGTCAGTCTGTAGAGCTGTTGAGCTCTACAGAACAGGTAAAACAAGGACACAAAAGACTACTTGATGCATGTGTGTTTGGGCATACAGATTCTCTTTTCCGCTGCTCTGATAAAAACAGAGAATGGCAGCAGAGTCGATGAGCAGACTGGAGAGGTCATCAGAGGCAAAGCTACTGTACCCATCCTGACATTAAAAGTGTTAAAGATTAAAGCTGGTTTTTACACTTTTTTAGCAAGCTTTGTGTCTATGTATTGTGTGTATGTGCATGTTAAAGCTACGGGAGGGATAACCGGGAGGTTTTCTGGATCTTATCTGTGTGTGTCAGAGAAAGGGACAATGCAGGGGATAGATGCCAAGCCAACTGGCACTTCGCAGGGCTACGATGCTTTTTATAGCCCTGCACTCCTCAAAAAAGGCAAAAAGATCTCTCCCTCCCTCCCTCCGTACATGTCTGTCTCTGCGTTCTCATTGTATTCTTTGGAGTGTTCTACTTTTTAAATGTTCTTATTCCCCATTTAGAAGGCGAGTTACGTTTAAGCCCACAGTTACCATGGCAACCCGTATTTGCATCTGAAAAAGTGCATTTGAAGGGGGCCAACGAAATCTGCAATAATATGCCTTAGCATTGTGCTCCATTTGGTGCGCACACAAAAAAAATGGCTTATGAAAAATGGGACAATGTTTATTTATTTATTTATTTTAGTAATCAACATTTGTTTGCTTTGTTCCTTTTTAGATTCATGATTAGTTTCTCTGGTAACCTGAATTGTTCATGCAAAATAAATTGTTTCAATTAAAACAGAATGGCTTCTATCACAAGAGAGCCATATTGACCTTTTTTTAATCAAATATGCTGCCGTAACAGAGGTCTGATGTCTGTCATGTCAATAAGAGACATGCAAACAAGCAAAACAAGAAAAATGCATTTCAAAATAGTACTAAAAGTACCTAGTAGCACACGTCACAATCCGTATCATTTCTTTTCCTTCTGCTACTCATAGACTTTAAACTTTCTGCAAGTTTTAGAATAAATCCTTCTTGCATTGTTGTCTAATTTTACTGCAACATGCCTATTCAAGCTACTCAAATAAAAACACAAACAAACAAAGCTGCAATAATGTTTGGTCAAATTCATCTGCCTCAAAGGTCTGCAACTCCACCTCACAGGATGCGGTATGGGAAGCACATTATTGACAACAACCTGTTCTGTTGCTCATCAGGAAATATGGAACATTACTCCCTTTCACAAATGAGTGCTCTCTCACATTTTAAAGGGGGGAAAAAACAAATCCAATGTATTGTATTTGAGTGGGGCCTGTTTACAATGCATCACTGTTGTATAATTTGATGCATTTTGACAACAGACACCATATTTGTATTATTTGTGCCATGACCACCACTTTGCTTTATCCTCTGAGCCTTTTAGAGAACAATTCAGTACAATGTACATTAAAATAATTGCTGCAAGGTAACCTTTACAGCTGAAAATCACAGTAAAAGAGATTGAGTGTTTGTGTCACTGCCAAATCAATAGAACAAACAAAACAAAACAAATTTGCTTAAACCTCAATACTGTATTTCAGAGCTGATGTTAAACAGCACACATACTGTACATATCATTGTGAAACTCCTCCTACCTTTTCTTAAAGGATTTCTAGCATCTTCCCAAATCACAGAGACACAGGCAAGTATTTTTACCTGTTTAATTGCACAGCAGAATCTCCCACAAATTATTTGACTAATTTAGTGTTTGGCTTGAGTAACTGTACTTGGAATCCAATTTTAGGATTTCTTTTACAAAATCAGTCGTGGTCTTGTTGATACCAATTAAAGGCTCTATAAGATTGATTTAAATGAAACATTTTAGATCTACAATTTACCTCCAAATTGATCGGCTATTTAGAAACTTTATTTCATAACCTTTTCCTTTCTAAATCCTTTGGACATAAAATGTTAAGCCTACTATTTCATTTTTTTCCACCATAAAGATAGATAGAAACCAATGCGTATTTTGTCACTATGTATAGTGAGGAAAAAAGATGAATGCAATAAAAAAATCTACAAGTTTAGCAGCAGATCTGGAGTTATTTTTTTTCTTTTCTCCTAACATCAAAACGTTAAATGTGTGAAGTTAATCAAAATCTGCTGAACATATGTACTGGATCATAGCAGACCTTTTTTTATCTTTTCAGAAACAAACACTCAGTTTTATAAAAATTGTACAAAATAGGATAAAGACATGGAACTAAAATACAGTGGGCTAGCTTCTCTTCCAAATGAAACAAAATCTTTCTTTTTTTTTTTGCTGAGACTGGGTCAGCACCACTTTACTGAAATTACTTATCAAACAGAGTCAAACTTCTTCCACCTTCCCAATGCCAAATTATATGCGAAATCATTTTAGTGTGCTGCAAAGAAGAGAGCAAAAGAGAAGATCTCGAACTCCATCTCTACACTAAAGAGGCTGCAACCACCTTCAGTTGGCAAAATGATTTTTTGTTCCTTTTGCCAAATTATTTATTTCAGCATGTTTCACTTCTAAATAATTCTGTCTATCTTACTTGTTTTTCTTCTTTATTTTCAAAGTTAGTAGGTAACCTTCTGCTCTCAATTGTGTTTCCAGTATTACTTTACTGTGACATTCAGTCATGAGAACCAGAAGCCTTTGGAGCTACGTACAGAAGACGTCAAGGACTGCGACGAGTGGGTGGCTGCCATCACACAGGCCAGGTAAGTTATGCACACAACCTTCTACCTTAATATGAAAGTTTACATAAACAAACAAAAGGCTGACATACTGACAGTGTGAGGCCTCAGCTGCATGCTGATTGGCAGAAGCAAATATCCAACAGAACCCATCTAGGACTTCAAAACTTGTTACTGAGGCACTCACATTTTATTTTAAGAAGCAAAGTCTTGCAATTTTGAAGTATTGCCCAACAAACTGAAAAGTCAACTATTAACATTAAAACAGAATGCATAGTCTGTTAAACTAGAAAAGATAAACTTATAATGCCTTCTATTCATTTTCTGGTATTGTTAAATCTTTAATAGGATGTTGACGAGTGGGGTGACTGTTTCTAACAGCATTATGGAGCAGAAAACCATGCAAACACATGTCCTCAAAGAATGGCTTGTTTTTGGATGAGAAGAGGAAATTGGAGTAAAAGGACAGGGCCCCCTGTATAAACAGGGAGCAAATTTTTCGGCACACTTTAATACACGTTTAACACACACAGCAACCCAAGTTACCCAATTTCACCCAAGACCTTCTGGTTGTTAGGAAGCAGTGCTAACAACTGTTTCACCAAACAGTCTATGTAAAAGGTTTTCAAACACTGCCTTACAGTGCAGATGTCTTCAGGTAGTTAACCCTGTAATGCCAAATGTATTATATTTGATACATATGGTTTCTGGAATGTTTTGCGCCTGACACGTTTTGCATAATTTAATGGTAAAAACTTTGCTCAGAATCCTATTGTACACAATCAGATATACCTGATAACAGAGGGCAGAAGACTATACCAAAATAAATCTTGACTTATCGCATAGTAATAAATTATTAATATCAAAAATGTATTTCTGTTTTTTCTTTTTACATATTTTGTTAAAAGGCCAAATAAGGACTTCAAACAGAAAAAAAGTAATTTTCTGTTTTGTTTTATTCTTGAATTGGGCTTTAAAGGGTTAACAGCACCATGTGTTTGTCTCATACTGACTATTCAGCATGGTAAGGGTGGGTAATGATCTAGAAACAGGCAGCATCATTAAGAAAGGAATTGATAGATGCGGGTAACCTTCCCATAGAAATCCCAAACCTGATACAGATCACCTGATAAACGTGCATAATTTCTCCTCACTTTGGACCACAATTTCAATTTCCTATTAGTCATCTTGAAGAACATGAGAGGATATCCATTTATCTGCATGGTGTATGTCCTATGCATGTAACTGAAGAGACATTACTATTGGCAAAACAGTATAAAGAGAGAAGCAGCTCTGATTGGATAGGAACAATAAGGCAATGAAAGCAGTCTTTAAATGTTGACAGGTAGCATTTGCTGCACAAAAGGTCAATTGATTGAACTCAGTGTAGATTATATTGATTAGTGGTCAATAAATACAGCAGTAATGACTGCATAGGGACAAGCTGCCTGTAGTATTGTAGGAACACTGATGTTTAATGTACAAATTTAGATCTAATGTTTGTCCTTCTTGCTTTGGTGTCTTCTTTGAGGTAATATCAACCTATGTTCAGTAAAAGCAATAAACCTCTTTATGAAGATATAAATCAACTTTTAATGAAGCAATATGTCAATATTTGAAGCAAGCAGAAGTGCTGGTGTGTAATCTACCAAATTTTGATTCTTTGATCTACACATGGGTTCTGTGGGGAAGTAAAGACTGTGGGTCACTCTGTTATTCCTAAAATATTGAACAAAAGATGGAACAATAGAAGATTAATCTAAATGCATCGGTGATCAGAAGACACCTATAAAAACGTTTGCTCTTAATAGTGACTGAAGGTTTCTCATGAAGGAGAAATATGCATTTTGCTGTTCCTTTTATGTAATTCTGTACTTCTTAAAATAATGTCAATTTATTTTTTTTCATGCTTAATGTTATTTCATTTAATTTATTCTCTTGTAATTCACATGAAATTATTTGGAGGGTTTTTCAATGTCTGGATGTATGTGCTTGTGCAGTTACAGAAACCTGGCTACAGAGCATGAGACCCTCATGCAGAAATATCTTCACCTTCTCCAGATAGTAGAGACAGAGAAAACAGTAGCCAAACAGCTTCGACAACAGATAGAGGACGGGGAAATTGAGATAGAAAGGCTAAAATCGGAGGTAAGTTGCCTCGTGATTTCATTCTTGTCGAACATATGCTCGTACATGTCTGTATTTGACTAATTGCAATGCACACAGTGGGAAAGGTGAAAGAAACTATGTAACTAAAAGTAATGAGGCAGAGAGCGCAAAGGTCCTGACACAGATTTTTATCCATAGTATTATGAATTCATGATGAGTGGTATCTTGTAGTGGCCCCTAGAGACTCTATTATACTGCTGAATGTTTTGTATCTTCATTATTCAGCCTAAACTAGATCAAATGTGTCTCTCTTTAACGTGCTAATGGAGGTTTGAATTGAAACCAGCATTTCAATATGCATGAGTCAGCTTTTGTTGTTCATACTAAAGGGTGCACTACAAAATAAAAATTTCCTTTATCCCTTTTCATGGTCACAGTCTTAGACAGTAATGGATGTAGTTTATTACCAGTTCTTTATCGAAAATGATTCTTTTTTTAATATTTTGAGTGTTGAAAGTTTGACTGAAACATGGCAATGTAACATTTGCCAAATATTATCTTTTTGTGGCCAATTGAGTATTTATGTGTATCACTTCTTTGAATCACCTATAAATCAAAGTAAAGATTGTCAGAAGGCAGTTTGCATCACAATAATAGTAAAATCAATTAAAACATCTGGGGTTAGCAGCATGGATCACTTTGATGTTTCAGATTATCTAAAGAAATGTAATGTAGAAATGTAGTTTCAACCAAATATAACTGGAGTAAATAAGAAAAAGACAATTTTCAAATCTTGAATGCCATCCAAAAACTGCTAATTGAAACTTGGTAACTAGAAGCAGAAGGTGCGCTGATAAAAAGCTCCTCCTTAGATGTGGCACATTTATAATAATTACTGTATAAATATTGTTTATAGTGCACTACAAATTTGTATTTTAAAGTGCAACAAACAAAAAGCAACAAAAATAAGATCATGAAAATTATTAAATACAAAAAATACAATTTTTAGATTTAACTTTTGTCTAAATTTTCTTTCTTTTTTTACCCTTTGTTTGTAGCACTTTGAGATTCTTATGTAAAGTACATTATAAATAATATGAATTATTGTTATAAATAAACCACAATCAGATTCACATAATTAATTTATTATTTCCTTTATTTCCATGGCTTAAAAAACATAATGTTAAATAGACAAATATGTCACACTCGGTTTAAGTTTGGCATAATCATCCTTTTTATACAACCACTCTTAAACCATTTGTTTAATTAATCAAATAATAAGCCCAGAGTGTTTTTTTTATGTGTATATTTTAAAATGATTCCCTTTTTCCCTTAGATTGCAGGACTCCTGAAGGATAATGAGAAGATCCAGTCAAATCCAGAGGTGCCACCCAGTGACGATGACACAGAGATCAAGAAGATCAAGAAGGTGCTGTGCTACCAGGCTTTAAAAAATAATAGAGATTTAAAGTTACTTAGGAGAAAAATGGTATGTACATTTAAACTGAGAGACGAAGAAAGGAAGAAGATCAGCAGCTTAGCTTAAATGGTTGGTTGAACACCCAATAGATGTGAAACATTTACTGCATTATTCCTCCTTAAATTATTCATTCTGTCTTTAGGTTTTTATAGTTTCAGTTAAGTCTCAATTGAAATAAAATGTTACACAATCCTTAATTAAAACATGTTTGATTTAAGAAGTAAAGTTCTCAATAATTTTGTTTGAAGAAGCAAAATAATTTTGTATATTTAGTACAAAACTCAAAATGTTGCATTTCATACAGAGGATGTTAATATATGGGCGGAAACAATTAATCGAATTAATCGTGGTTAATCGATTATTGAAATAATCATCAACTAATTTAGTAAATGATTAATCGTTAACTGGAGTATCACAACTTTAAAAAGTGCCTTTAGCTGACAGAGTGACCCACTTAGAGCAGTAATTATACCAAAACTGTAAAAAAAAAAGTGCTCTATCCAGAACTCCTCAAGAGGAAATGTTTTAGTTTCTTCTGGATTAATTTCGTAAAAAGTCTTCTTTAATGAACCTTTGGCTATCTGATTATTAATTGAGTGATCGAAAAAAATCTATTTGCAAAATAATCTTTAGTAGCAGCCCCAGCCTAGTTTATATTTTGGTCAAATCTAATGCTGACTTGACCCATTTTCATCCAGTTAAGTCCATTGTGCTTAGACCTGGATGTTAATCAAACTAATCTCTATGTACAATACAGACTAATTTAGTACAAAGCAAATCTAAAAGTTTTACCAGCTATTTAAATAAAATGAATAACTCCAAACTGTTAAGATATAATTTCTCCTGAGCTGCATTTCATTTAAACAGTAATGACTAAACTGAGTCAGGTTTTCGGTGCAAGCTTTCCACTTATATCCTAAAACCACCTTGTGAGAGCAAAAACACATAAAACGGTGCTATATTTAAGAAATAAAATCTGATACCTGATTGTTAATGTTTAATAATCAGATAAGGTTTGAACTCAACTGTTAATAAAAACCCTGGCAACATAAACCGTAATGTTTTACTGTACACACAGGTGCAGAGCTTTTTGCGAGGCTGGATTTGCCGTAGGAAATGGAAAACCATCATCCAGGACTACATCCGTTCCCCTCATGCTGAAAGCATGAGGAAGAGAAACCAGGTAGTGTTCAGCATGCTGGAGGCAGAAGCTGAGTACGTTCAGCAGCTCCACATCTTGGTCAACAACTTCCTGCGGCCTCTCCGCATGGCAGCTAGCTCCAAGAAACCCCCTATCACTCATGACGATGTCAGCAGCATCTTCCTCAACAGGTTGTCCTTAACTTACACTGGCAATAATTCTTTTACCTAAAGAAAGAGAGACAAAATGTTTAATTAACCAGTATTGTCCATGTTTACCTGTGTTTTGTCAGTGAGACCATCATGTTCCTCCATCAGATCTTCTACCAGGGCCTTAAGGCCAGGATAGCCAGCTGGCCAACACTGGTTCTAGGTAAGAAGCTCAGACACTTCATGAATTTTGATGCTGTGTTTCTGAGAAATGCAGAGGTCAAACAAATATAGAGTGTTTCTACTGGATTTGACTCATCAGTTTGAAGCAGTTCAAATCCATCCATCCATCCATCCATCCATCCATCCATCCATCCATCCATCCATCCATCCATCCATCCATCCATCCATCCATCCATCCATCCATCCATCCATCCATCCATCCATCCATCCATCCATCCATCCATTTTCTCCCGCGTAGTCCTTGGTGCCGGTGCCTATCACTGGTAGTCTATGGGCGAGAGGCGGGGTACACCCTGGACCAGTTCCCGAGTCTGTTGCAGGACAACACATAGACCCACAAAGACACACAACCATGCACACACACACACTCATGCCTAAGGAGAATTTAGAGAAGCTAATTCACCTAACAGACATGTTTTTGGACTGTGGGAGCAAGCCGGAGTACCCGGAGAGAACCCACACATGCACAGGGAGAACATGCAAATACAATTCAAATCACTCAAACATAATTACACATTGCCCTGTTGCGTCATACCTTATAGGATTTCTATGTGTCTTTTTTTAAAGTTTGTTATGCATTTACATCGATTCTGAATAGATTCCCTTTCTCCACTGAAGAAAATGATTCCCACATTATGATGCTTCCACCAACATATGAGGAATCTTTGTTTAGGGTCAGGTGCAATGTTGATATCTTTTCTCTCCTTTGCTTTTACAAACTTAAGTATGAAACTTTTATGACTTTCTTTAAACAAGTCTTCTTGCAACTCTTTAGTAGAGGCTAGATTTGTGGAGGATACCAAGCACACCTGTACTGTCCGTAGATTGTAGTTAGTGGTTCCTCATAATGCTGTTTGTTCATAAATATGGAAAAGCAAACCTCTCAGATCTTCATTTACTTTACTGAGAAAATTATACCGAGTAAATACCACAGTTTGATGCTATTTACTTATGTGAATTATGAAGACAACTGTTTGCACTTGACTGTATTGATGGGTTGCAGAGTTACAGGGCAGCAAATAGATAATGCATGCACATTACATGGGATAAAGTGTGTTAGTCTTTCATGGTTAAAACACATGAAATGTTCTAACAGTTTTTGGAAATGTTGCTTCCATTTTTAGCTGACCTGTTTGACATCCTGCTGCCCATGTTGAACATCTATCAAGAGTTTGTGAGGAATCATCAGTACAGTCTGCAGATCCTGGCACACTGCAAGCAGAACAGAGACTTTGACAAATTGCTGAAGCAGTATGAAGCCAAGCCTGACTGTGAGGAAAGGACACTGGAGACATTCCTCACTTACCCCATGTTCCAGGTAAAATTCACAATTGTGACAGGGAGATGTAATAAAATACACATAATTCATAAAAATTCTCACTAATTAGATTAAATCATAGAAAAATATATACTCTAACCTGAACTTTATGTATCTCTAAGAGGACGCTGTAGCAGCTCAGGGGCTACGTTTTCTGAGATTTCTGATTTCTATCACTGTTAAATCAACCAACAGTGTTACTTCAAAGCCACATCTTTTTACTTTTAGTCTATGACTGTGCATGTCAGTCTGTGTTGAACGTGAGTGACAAGATTCTGTTTGTAACAATTCAAGTGGCAGCTTCTCATACAATGGCGGCATTAGAGGAGGTTTTCAAATTTCATTACAAGCAGATCAATCACTCTGAGACACACTTATTTATACACTAGATGGCTGCTTACTTTATTTGAAATTGACATACATTACTGGCAATTGAATTAGGAGAATGTGGAAACTGTTCAGCAGAGAAAGGGCACAAGCCAGACTAATTCAAAACAAATGTCTCTCCTCTTTTCAGATTCCTCGCTATATCCTGACACTGCATGAGTTACTGGCTCATACTCCTCATGAGCACGTGGAACGCAACAGTTTAGACTTTGCCAAGTCAAAACTGGAGGAAATATCCAGGTAGACTTATTTTTTGTCTATCTGCTTTAAAGGAAATCCACAATCCAGCTGTCTTTAACTTCCCAACTATGTTCTACTGGTAAAACTGATTGAGACATTTCTAAGCTCTCCGAAAGTGTCTGTTTTTGTCAGTCCAATTAAATCTCTGTAAATTCAAAATTCTCTGTAGTTTGTTTCAAAACAATAAACCTACAGACGGAACAAATTGATTAAACATCAATATTTTAACTGTATTTCTGTCAAATTTGTACAGAAAACCCAAAATTGAGTGTGTCACTGAAAACTTTTGACTGATAAAATAACTTTTAAAACATAAATGTGAAGCAACTTAAATGCATGTGATGCAGATGGCATGACCGGTGCAGATAAGCCATGTCATCATGACCTGGGTCCCAAACCATCATTGCTCATATAGAATTTTACACTGAAGCTTAGGCTACTTTGGTTATGTATTTTCCCAAGTTTCCTCCAGATGCTGGAACCTTAATTTACAAGATTTCAGATTCATCTGAAAACATTGTCCCACTAGTTAACGGTCCAGTAATTTTCTCCCCAGTCCAGGAGATGCAGGCAATGCTATGTTGTTGTTTTTCTTGAAGACCCAAATCCATCCACCTCTCATATATTGTAAATCTCCTGAAAACCTTTTAATGGACTTTGCTTCAGAATCATTTTAAAGCTGAAGTTATCTCTGCTGCTTGTGGGTCTTCTTCACATTTTCTTTCCACTAAATCTTTAATTAATGATATCAAGAGTAGTCTGTGGGAAGACTATTTTTTTGGCAATGACTCTCTGTAGCTTACACTCCTTGTGGAAGGTGAATGACTGCTGGCCAGAGACTAACAATAACCTCATTATGCAGTGGTGGATGGTGCAAATGGTACCTAGGCCTTCAGTGGGCACCCCTCAACTTAATCTACTTTTTATCCCTTGATGTCCAAATATAACTATATATATTGATGCAGATGTTATCATGTCAATACAAAAGGTTTGTTCCATATTTGCAACGACTGATGTCAAGGGGTTAATATCACCACTTTCACCACTAATAGTATTTTATATGAAATGTAACAAGCGCCGATACAACCGAGAGGAAGATTAGTGTGAGGGTGAATACAGAGCTCAATTAAGCAAGAAGCTGAGTATAAGACAACCACAATCCTCTATAACCATAGCTCCGCCACATATACATCATCAGGAGCTGTTCAGATTCAATATGCATCTAATTACCAGCTAAAATAGAGATTAACACATGAAAATAAAATATGTCACACTCACCAGAGATGCTGATTATTTATAAACAAAATCCTGTCGTTGTGCAGGAAGACTAAGTATCTCCATGTAGTATCCGCCAGAATACTACAGAGGCCAGAAAAATCTTTTAACAAAAGCAAATCTAAAATGCAGATTGTCACTAGCTTAACTTGGCTGGAAATATTTTGCTCTAACTGACCAATTAGAGGGCAGAAAATCATAGCTAGCTCAGTGGGGCAAGTCTGAAATCTGATTGGTTGAAGAAAATGTTCCTCTCTAATATAGTTGAGGTAACATCGATAGACATACGTAGATATGCACGATGGACAGTCGATGCAGGGTCTAGTCTTATATGTATGTATGTATATATGTATGATCAGCCAGCAGTGCTGATTCTGAAGGCCCTGAGCAGATTTGATTGACATAGCAACGCACTAAGGCTGAAATCTGAATGGACAAAAGATATAACAACAAGATAAATGTAAAGAATCCAGCGCAGCCAAGAGAAACGCTACAAAATCCAGAGAATGGATTGTTTGGAATAAATTATTACTGTTGGGGAAAAAAATGTTTACATTTAGGTTATAAATGTAGGTAAGTGTTTTTAAAGGATTTTAGGCCAACAGTGAAGGCTTTGAAGGCCCTAATGGCTTACCACTGCCATTACGTCTTAATTAACAGAAATAAATGGCAATGAAATATTCTATGCGTAAGCTGTGTATTGTTCAACTTTTCCAATTTATTTCTGAAATAGTTTTGTGATTTTTCAGTTTATCTGTGTTTGTTATTCCTTTCAGAATCATGCATGATGAGGTGAGTGAAACTGAGAACATCAGAAAGAACCTGGCCATCGAGCGCATGATTGTAGAGGGCTGTGAGGTGTTGCTTGACACCAGCCAAACATTTGTGAGACAAGGTAAGGGAGGCTTGTTTGTTAGCTGGCACCACCAATCCTGCTCAGTCTAATAATCTGAAAGAGAAAAAGAAAAAACAAATAACAACCTGACGCTTGATGCATAAAAAAATTATTGAAAAACTGCAGAAATCCAATAATAAAATCTGTTTTGTTTTTAAGTTTACCCCCCTGCTACCCCCCCAAACAAAGAAAAATCAATGCATTTACAATCACATGTTGCATAACTGTGTGTGGGTGTGTATGTGTGCACAGGTTCTCTAATCCAGGTGCCCATGAGTGAGAAAGGGAAAATCACAAGAGGACGTCTGGGCTCTCTGTCTCTGAAAAAGGAAGGAGAGAGACAGTGCTTCCTCTTCTCTAAGCATCTCATCATATGTACCCGAAGTTCTGGAGGAAAACTTCATCTCACAAAGGTAAATCCTGAGTTGCATCCAGAAAGGAGCTGAAATAAATGAAAACTACAATAGATTACTGACAAAATACATCTGGTATTAATTACAAACAGTATTTGAGCTTTTAAAACACCTTTAGATTACTCAGAGTACATGTAGCAATATGTTTATAGCAATGCTCATATAAAAGTGCTTTATTATGGATCTCAAGAAGAAATCCAGGATGAGTTAATGACTTTTTAATCCTGTCACAGAATGGAGTAGTGTCGCTTATAGACTGTACTCTGATGGAGGAGCCCGAGGGGACGGATGAAGAGTGTAAGTTACTATTTTTACTTGTATCCCAGGTTATTTTTATTTTAGTTTTTTAGTTAAAATCTAGAGTACATAAAAAAGTAGAGAAAAGCTGGTATATTAGGTGTGCTAGATACTGTGTATATTAGATGTTTTACACATTTTTTCATACAATCATTGACTTAGATAAAGTGATTTCATAAGTCATGGCTGTTAAGCAGGGTTTAAAAGAATTACAATATATCAGTGCATATAAGATAACTCTATATGCTTCCTTGTTTTTTACCATAAGAACCTTTAGCTCCTCTTTCTGCTCTCGGAAATCTTTCTGAATAGTTATTTAATTTCAATTCAATTCAGTTTATTTATATAGCGGCGATTAACAACAGATGCCGTCATCTCAAGGTACTTTACAGTTCACCAGATCATACAGTCAAATTGAGTCAAAGTTTTCTCTCTAAGGAAAACCAGTTGACTCAAAGTCAATCACCCACATTAAGCATGCTTGTAGCGACAGTGGAAAGGAAAAACTCCCTTTTAACAGGAAGAAACCTCCAGCAGAAACAGGCTGTGTGAGCAGCCATCTGCCGAGGCTGTCTGGGAATCAAGGAGACAGAAGCAGAGATACAAAAGGCAACTGTAAAATGTGGCCCTATCCAGGAAAAAGGTCAAAGTATTTTTTCTTGCAGTAGCATATTAGGACGGAACATAGCTGGTGATTTTGGCAGCATATCTGTGACCTTCGTGCTGAAACCCACTGTCTGCTTAGTGAGACGTTAATAAAGAGTGGATACCAAATGATAAAAATTTTCTTAATCTTTATTTTTTTACATTTTGTCACATTACTCCCAGAAAAATAAAATGCATTATTGAGATATTATGTGTAAATCACATCAAAACATCTTTACACATCAAAACCTGAAAAGTGTGGCATGCATTTAATCTAGTACTTGTTAAAGAAAGTATTGTTTTTCGAAGGAATCAGAAATGTATAAATAAACAAAAACAAATAGCCTCATAAATGCCAGGGGACACACTAGACAGTTTAAAGATAAAGATAAGGAGAAGTCAAAGGAGGTTTACAATTTTAAAATGATATTCCAAGCTTTCACCATGTTACAGAAAATCTCTCCATCCTCTAAATAAAAGGACAGTTGAGCTCTAAAATATGACCGACAACATAAACTAACTTAATCTGAGACGTATCTAAGAGATCCAGAGGAGCTGCAGGGATCCACAACTTATTTAGGAGAACCCGTATCATTTATATTCTACTTAACAAAGTTTATCTACTTTGTGTTGTTTCAACACATATAAATTCAATAAAATCTATAAATAATTTTTAGTTTGTGGTTGTAATGTGGCAAACCAGAAGAAGTTCCAAGGTTATGGCTGCTTCCTTGTACCGGTATGTCTTTGTTGATTTAATCATGCTTACTGCATGTAGCTTCACTCTGACACTGTCTGGCGTGTAGAGATTGGCGAGGGTAAATTAAAAAGAAGCTATTAAGCGAGTTCTATTTGCATAGGAGCATCATATTCATCACAACACTGAAGGAGGTCTCTCACATTTATAAGTTATTAGGTTATAACCAGTACATGTAAATAAGGTATGCAAGTGAAATCTGTTGCTGAACATTTACGGTCTTGGTGCAATTGCAAGGATTTGTAAACATTTTTTTTGTAATGTTGGTTTGTTTAATTGTTAAACTGCAGTTAAAGGGGAGCGGAGCGGCCAGGATGCAGAGCATCTGGACTTTAAAGTCATGGTGGAGCCCAAAGAGGGCCAACCATACACTGTCATCCTTGTAGCTTCATCCCGACAGGAAAAGTCAGCATGGACAAGTGACATAAGCCAGGTATGTCTTTGCATGTGTAAAGCTTGACAGGGAGAAAGATCAGTTTGCATTATTGAGAGCAGATTTAATCAGTATTTTAAAAAATCTTGGTTGTAAAAGATCTTAAAAGTCAAACACAATTATACTAGCAGGTAATAAAGTCCTTTTTAAATTGATACATTTCTATTAAAGAACACAGACCTTTGGTATGGAGGAGGCACTGAAACCTGCAATGTCAAGACATTTGTGTACCACATCCCTCACTTTTTGTTTCCTGCTCACGGTGAGCAATACTCTTTTTACTATTACAGTGCATTGACAACATTCGCTGCAATGGCCTGATGATGAACGCCTTTGAGGAAAACAGTAAAGTCACAGTGCCACAGATGATCAAGTAAGAGTCTGGTCCTGCATAGCAATGCACATATATTAAACATGCAGAAAGACTGGAAGGAGTGTTAGGAAAGACTACAAAATACTTCTCAAAATACTTCACAAATAATCAATTAACATGGACTATATATTTTTTGAATAGCAGAATTTCCTATCAAATATAACTTCAAGCCCTAAAGCCATGCCTTAACCATGCATTCAAATTTATTATCAAAAACATGACCAACAAGAAGATAATACTGAATAAAGCATGATGTATAAGCTGTTATGTGCATGATCCAAGAGACCTGAATTATTAATGTTTTTTTTCCCACCAATTTACTTTCATAAGATCTTATTAAAATCTGATGGAATAAACTAGAAAAACATATGTTTTCCTCTTATCACTTTGGAGGCAATGCAATTTGCTGTTACATTTTATGAAGCGGTAAAATGTCTTTTTCTTTTTGTCCTCCTCTCCTCTTGGGGAAGTTAACAGACTAACAAAGGAAAACTCCTATGATCCACAAATGATTCTGAAGGCTTACTTAAAATTGGGTGGTATTAATACAGGTAGTAAAAGTATTATAAGGAACATTTCCCCCCTCTAATGAAATGTAATACCCTGCAGGTCAGACACTAGCTTGTACTGCGATGATGTCGACATTCGCTTCAGCAAGATGATGAACTCATGCAAGGTGCTTCAGATCCGCTATGCCAGTGTGGAGCGTCTGCTGGAGAGGCTGATCGACTTGCGCTTCCTCTCCATTGACTTTCTGAACACCTTTCTCCATTCATACCGCGTCTTCACTAGTGCAGACGTAGTCCTGGACAAGCTCATCACCATCTACAAGAAGCCAATCAGTGCCATCCCTGCACGGTATGTAAGATTACTCTGTTTTGGAGCTCTCACTATTAAAGGTGATTGTAGTCGCTGGCATCCATTTCATGTTTTCAATGTTTGTCTGTTTACTGCTTGATCACAAAGGTAGATTTTACATACTAATGCAGGCATGGGGAGAACGTGAAATAGTGTTGGTTTAGGGTTTACAGAGAACATCAGTGTCTTTTCCTGAAACACATTTTTCTTGAGGTGGTGGCAAAGTGGAAATGTAGTTTGTACATTTCCTTTGCAGGGATTTAAGGGTTCAATTTTTCTACTTTAAAAGGTTTGTTCTCTTGAATAATCCTTTATTTTATTGCGGTACTGAAAGTACTTTAGTTTTGAGTGAGACATGTTTCTGTGTACTGCTGTATATCAAGCCTTAATGAGTCTGCCAGTAAAAAGGTTTATTACTGTCTGATGTAGAACAAATAAATAAACAGTGTTTAGTCTACACACAGTTTAGTCTTTAGAACTCTCTATCTGAAATGCATTAAAATGAGTAATTTTGTTGTTATGACTGTCTCTAGTTAAGCAAAACAGAAAACACATCCTGTCTACTGTCAAGGTTCTCCGTATGAGAAGATGAGTTTAGTGGTTACTGTATATCCTTTTGAAAAAAAATATCAAGGTGGATTACAAACCAAGCTACAAAGTCCTAGGCTGTTGTACTAAAGTTAAGTTGTCATGTAGGTTTCCTCCTGTTGAAGGAATTTGTTCTTCCCCACTGTGGCCACATACTTTACAGAATGGATATTTCTTGGAAGAATTACCTTTTTACTTGATATAATAAATTGAATTTTATTACCCTCTGATGTAACTGATTTAACTTGGATTAAATGTGTCTGTATTCAAAAGCTGTATTTATTTGATCAGAAATTCTTTTTTTTAAGTACACTGAAATCTAAATGGGTAGGCCATGGCCGCTGCTCGCCAAACTTTGAAATTGCCTTACTGGAGGAGGAAGGGAAGCTTTAAAGGTGCAGTAGACAGGTAGGGCATCCCCAGTGTCTGAATTATTCTTTGCTCTCAAGTGGACTGTCTGTGAAAACCTCCGTCCTGCTGTGTTACTTGGTCCTAGTGAGGATGGAGATAGAAGGAGGCAGTGAGAGGTCACACCAGCAAACTTTCTCTGTCCTCCTCATTCTTCCCTTATAATTCTCCGTCTCCTCTTTCTATTGCCCTGTGTTGTTCTCTTGCTTTTATTTTTCTTTCGGTGAGTCTGACCATCCCTCTCTCTGCAGCACTGTCACCATGGCAACCTTCCACTCTGCTGCAGGACCCCACCCTCTCCCCCGCTCCCCTGTCTTCCCCATCATCTGCAGCAGCTCCATGGTATTAAATATTGACGTTGGTGTTTTGCACCCTGCGCTCTTCTCCTCCTCCTCCTTCCTCCTTTTTGTCATACTTTCCTCTTGTTTTCTAATCAAAAGTATATTTGCCTCCTTGACTTGCTTACACTCTCAACTTTCTACTCTTATTTTGCCCTCCTCTAATTTACATCTCTCTTAACTCTCCTGTACCCCATTAAGTGTCTTCATTTCAGATCATTCCTCTAATCTCCTTATTTAAGTGTTTTTCGTGAATTTCTGCAAGGAGACACGCCATGGCTGCAGTTTGGCATCATACAGGTCTGGAGGCTTCCCATTCGCCCACTCGCATCCAGCAACCTGCGCTGTGGTGGAATCCATATCAACTATGTTGCTCCTCTCCAGTGCCCTCCCTCTCTGTATCACTATTTTCAGCCTTGCTCGTCTTTTATTACTGAAGCCCAGTCTCTTCCTCCCTCTTCCCCTGTTTGTGTTTATTCGGCTCCCCTTTCTTTCTGCGTCTCTATCCCCATGTCTCTGTGGGCCTCCCCTGGGCTTGTTGCTGTTGGCAGCACCCGTGCCTCCCACACTGTCACTTGACATGCTATTTATAGGCCATCAGAGGGGGTGGCTCTCAGAGTAAGGAGGATAATGTCTTAAACAAAGTAGTTTAAATAAAGGAGGCAGGAGCTCCCAAGTAGCCCTGCGGTTCTGCCTCCGCTTCTGAGACCCAGTGCAAATCCATTATAGCCATTATTGCTACGATCTCACCTTATTTTGGAACCAAAGCTCAAATCTTTACAGTTCCCACTTAGCCTTAAGTCAACTCTGTTTGCACCCCCCCACTATTTTCTGCAGCTCTCTGGAGCTCTTCTTCGTCAGCAGCCAGAACAACAAACTCCTTTACGGTGAGCCACCTACATCGCCACGTGCCAGCCGCAAGTTCTCCTCCCCACCGCCTCTTTCCATCACCAAGAATTCCTCTCCGAATCGTCGTCGCAAACTCTCTCTCAACATCCCCATCATCACTGGGGGCAAGGCCCTGGACCTCGCTGCGCTCAGCTGCTCTCCCAATGGCTATGCAAGCATGCACACAACCATGTCACCCTTCAGCAAGACCACACTCGACATTAACAAGCTCTACGTGTCTAGCACAATGGCCAGCAAAATTCCTGATGAGGGAGAGCCCAAAGCCGAGGGCAAAGCTGAAGAGTCAGCTCCCAGTAAACAAGGTCAGAACAGCTTTGTGATTTGCTGAATGTGGTTTTGACCTTCAAAATACAGGAAATAATAGTTGTTGGTACGAAAAGGTAGTTCAAGGTGATTATAGCATTACTTTTAGCTGTAATAACTGAGTTTAATCCCATTTCTTGCAACTTTTTCACTTGAATGCATCTCATTTGCATATCTCCCCCAATTTCTTCATCTCAAGTTACACTGATCTGAATGCAGGCTCTGTTATTTTACTTTGTGCTCTTCCTTTTATTTATCTCTATACTCTCTGAATTCTGGGTCTAGATCTGTCAGTCAGAGAGGAATGCAATGAAGAGCCGAGTCAGAGTGATGAGGCAGAATCAGAAATGTCTCCACCCAAGTCTCCATCAACACCGAAGAATGTCAAGTCAAAAAACTCGGGTACAGTAGAACTTTTCAACTGCTGCTTTTCTTGAGCTTGTTGTAAATCACTTGCTATTTCTTTTTAAGTTGACATTCGGTGGTTATAACAGAAAGGAAACTGGTTCCAGGAGTAATGCAGTAGAGAAATTGCCGAGGTTTAGGGATTAGAGAAAATGGTAAGCTGTGCTTTCCAGTTGTGTTTGTTTGCAAATGTCTAAAACAGCGAATAAGAGCCTCTGATTTGTTTAAATTAGTCCAAAATGCCATTGCTAAATGCCCCTTTGAAGGAATTTAAACTGTAGGAAGGATTTAACCTGTACAGTATTCCTTAAAAGCTATTTTATATGGTCCTTTAACTTTTTTACATTTGGTGTTTTTTTTTTTACCATTATAGAGCAGGGGATATATAGAAGTGGACACAAAATAATACCTTCAAATATTTCCAAATATAAATGGTGGGTTGCAGGACCAGCACAAAGTGTTTTTGAATTGAATTCAATAGGGTTTGTCTTTACTGCTTTGCAAATATAAAGACAGACATCTTTTCCATTTTTTCTTTATAAAATCCCTTAATCTCTGCTAGATTGGGTCAGCAGAAAGTTTTGCTACAGATTCTCAAAATATTTTAAAATACATGCTTCAATATTATTTTTTTGCTCTTGTCAAATACCACTGTCGCATTGTGTATTAACCTTGGCTTCATCTGCGCAGAGCACCTTCTTCCAAGGGTATGCTGTGTGGACTGCTCCATCTGAGCTGTGGGTTTTTCCACATTCCAAGTTATGAGAAATCAGATTCAGGGTTAGAGTTTTCAGGTTTGATGCATACAGTGCCAAAATATAAGAATGGTAAAATCAGGTTTTTATTCTGCTACAAGACTAAAAAATGCAAAAAATGCAAGCACTCCTTTTTTATTTAATAACAAGTAAATGAAAAAATTGCATCAGTAAACTTCAAAACAAACTTCTTTTTGTTTTGGAACAAGAGGACAGGTACAACCAAATAAGGTCTTGATAAACACCACCCACGGCATCCTGGCCCTCCCCATGCCATAGAGCAAAGGAGCATCCACCCCGTAGGTTGTCAAGCACAATCCATCCCCAGTGAGTTCTCTTCCCACGTTGCTGGATATAAGGGAAGCCAGTGCCTTGTGTGAGTAGGTGGAAGGAAACCTTGTACCTTAGCAACGATGTGCGTGTTCTTCTATACCGCCCCCGGGTGAACGGAGGAAGGCAGAGTGGGGAAGAAGTGAGTAATAGAGGGAGGCAGAGAGGCAGGCTCAGTGGAGTGTTCACCATCGCTACCATGAGAAGCAGGACATGCTGTTCTATATCGGTTTTAGCTCTTGGTTGCCCTCCAATGGTCAACAATTTGACCAGACAAAGCAAGTCTAAGAAATAAATATTAGAGGTGCTAATCCTAAAATATTTTTTAACTTTAAAGTAACTCCTCTTTTCTGTAATATTTGCTTTTGTTTCTAACCAATGAATTAATTTTTATTTCCCCCTTTTCAGAGTTTTCCCTGTTTTCCTTTAACAATGGCATGGTAGTGTCTTCATGCCGGGAGCTTGAGAATAACCGCAGTGCCCTTTCTGCTGCCTCAGCCTTTGCCATTGCCACAGCTGGTGCCAATGAAGGAACACCAACCAAGGAAAAATACCGGCGTATGTCCCTCGCCAGCACAGGTCAGTATCATCTTTGGCAGGTAGAGACACCTGTAGAGGGCTGTGTCAAGCAGATGAATATTTACAATGAACAAAGTTCATTTTGATCACAACAAAACTTTACCCCTTATGATTTTTTTTTATTAGATATTAAAGGAATAGTACACCCAAAACATGATTAGCCTTCATTTTCTACTCACCCCCATGCTGAAAAACACTCTAGAGTACTTTTTTGATATCTCAAATGCATCTGGAGATCTGGGAGGCTTCTTGCTGTCTGCTGACATTCAAATAATGGAGGTCTATGG